TGTGATAACTCGTTAAAAATGAATTAATTAATTACGCAATTTTTATTAAGACTATTTGACAGTAAAAAATGGCTTAGTCATAAATAATCCATTAGAAATGCAAGTGACTTTATGATGATAATTAATCCCATGTCGTTAACATGCGGTATATACGATGGCAAACACCCGTTGTATTGAAATTACCATACGTCCCCATGTCTGTTCTGTTATTAAGGCTAGTTCTGTCACTGATATCAAGAGGAATTCATGTAATATCTTGATATTTCGGCCATAAGCTTATTTGAAACAAGAACCTGCACACCGTTGTAATTATGACATTGAGTGATTAATCAATCAACAATCTAGATGAATGACATAATGTAGCCGACATGTGAAGTAGTACTTCCAAATCTTGAAATAACCACTCTCTTTTTACTACTAATAATGACTCCGAAAGGAACTTTAAATGAAAATCCATGAGTGAAATGCATTGAATCAATATAGGTAAGATAATAGATAATCGATAAAGCTTTATCTATACTCTATCTGAGAAACATTAAACAGAGTAATGTAAATGTTGAATTAATTATAACACATAGTGAGAAAATAGCTGTAGAAAATTTTACAGACTTCATCCATTTTCAGTGAGTAATTGAAAGAAGTTTTCGGTAGAAATTGAGTAAGAAACGCCTCAGGAACATTGTTCTGTAATACAAACATCGAATGCAGGTGACTTGATTTGAGATTGGATTATGTTATCAGCGATATCGAGTCTGTGGAAATTCAATTAAAGTGACGAATGAACGGATAGTAAATCGATTTCTGTAATAGAGAATAGACACTTAAGAAAGTAATGTATAAAACTTTACAGAAATTTATTATAATAGTCAATTTAATAATTGCTTTTAAAAAGTCTTTAATCCTTACCACGCAAATTATATTAAATTGATCAACAAATATTTCAGAAAATTATCTTACTGATAAAATAAAACTTAATGTACGATTTTACTTTCACATGTGAATAAAAAAAAAGACTAATCCTTAATCACTTTTAGTGAAATCAGTAACTCGTGACTTGAATTCAGGAAACTTTGGAATTATTTCAACAATTCAGTGATTGTATTGCTCTAGTAATATATTACACTCATATACATGTATGCCTTAAAGATAAATATACTTGTATAATAGAATTCTTCAATGGTGATACTACAACAATTGTTAGATGGAACGATATTTCACCTTAGAGCTTTGCAAGTTTTATTGAGTTTAGTTTTGTTAGCAATACGTTATAGCGTCATGGTATGCACAGAAATAAGTTTCGCCAGGTACTATATACACTTCGACTTGAGTCCTGGGCATACGAAGCGTTTCAACATTCATGCATATACAACAGGGGATTTTCAGATAAAATCGGATTTGACGTTTAGAGAATCTATTCACTGAAAAAAATATTTTGCAGCCGTAATGAATCAAAAAACTGTTTTTACAACAGTGACAAGTTTATGAAAGTGAAGTAGCATTTCTTATTTATAAATAAATAATAATTATTAATTGTTAAAAATTTTGTTGAGAAAATTATCAAACATGTAATATAAATGCACATTTTTGTTCAACGAAAATGATAAAAAATTTGAAAGAACCCCGTTTTCAATTTTCCAAATTCAAAAAGAGATTTAAGTAGAACTTTGTAAACACAATAAATATATAAACGTTAACTCAAATTTTTATTCTTCATCCATATTAGAGCAGATGATATTTATTAAATGATTCTGTATGAATTTTGTCTCTATATTTAATTTGAGAAGTTGTAAATACATCTCTGTGAGTATGTATTTATTGATTGAGTTTATTAACCAGAAATTGGTAGATTAGAAACGATGGTCAAACATTTCATTCCATGTCATGCCATTTGTTATCATTTGCATACAGTATATGCACAAAATAGACTAGACTGACCAATGGGTTGAATATACCTACTGTCATATGTTTCGAGATATCAGTAGGCTTAATTTCCGGCTGCAAAGTTAATCTACTTCGTACTACCAATTTAATTGTGATTCAGCGAGTTCATTATTATGTATAAAAATTTTTTCCACCATTGTTATCTGGTAACAGCCAGAATAAAATATTCTGTTGTGGCAACATATCGGTGATCTATGCTCGGTGCCTCCTACAGTCTTGTGCGTGACAAATTTTCTCTCCGTTGCAGCAACCAACTTAATTTTTTGCATTTACAACTTTTTCTTGTGAATTCAAGGGAGTCACGACTGTTCCAGGAACAAAGTATTTTTATAGTGTAGCTATGCGATCATCATCACTCCCATCTCATTGACAGCTTTTGTATAAGGACAGTTGCGTGAATACGATGAAACCTGGAATATAAATAAACAAATTAAATCAAGTCATAAATCAAACGACGATTAATTGTTAAATTTTTATTCAATGGACAATGGAAGCAATTCACATGACAGAAAAAATTCAATTTTACTTGATTGCATTAATGCTGTCTAGGTGATAAATTGAAAAATCTGTCAGACTGTCAGGCTATCGTTAAGCTATTATTATCTAAAAAGAAATGGATTTAATGTTCAATTAAATGTTTAACTCGAAATATTTCAATAAATAAGTTATTTAAATATTTACGATGGTAATTCATCATTTGATGTAATAACTAATCATTTCTTAAGATAGAATATTTGAGATTTCATTTTAAAATAAAGTTTTTAATAAAATAAAATATATTTCTCATGAAAATAATTGGTTTATTAATATTTTATTTTTCATTCATATTTGAATATCTTTATAGTTTAGAGTTTCTGTAAAACATTTATTTATTTGTGTTTGTATTGTAGATCTTGAAGACAAGAAAAAAGTTAAAATCAAAGTAAACATTTTACTTGATGAAATTCATTATATAAAATGAGATGATTCAATAAACTTCGTCTTAATTTCATATTAAATATTTCTCTTTCATAAAATGCAAAGCTACTCAAGCAAAAGCCACGAGTTTTATTCTGGTGTATTAAATACCGAAATGTTGGGGAAAAAAATACTTGTTTTGGTATTATGAAAAAAAATTTTCTTGTACTTTGTGCAAATATTTCTGTCTTGCCAGATGTTTTTTCTCATAAAACGCATTACGTTTTCCTGTACTAGTATTCCTTTACAAATGATATAACTCATTTAATCCCTTCATTCCTCACGTACCGACATTCTCATATGAAAATTTTTTACATATTTTGCTACTTTATACATATGTATTCCATTATTTTATCGTTTGCATTTTAATAAGAAAATTTTTATTTGTAACAATTTCATTAGGTGAATTTTCCCAAGCATTTTAACAATAATTATAATTGCAGAAAAATAAAACAAAAAAGTATAATAATTATAATTAAAATGAAAACTTTCTTTCACTAAAAAATAATTTACTAAAGTAAACAGACTTCCCTTTATTTTTCTTGGTGATAATGTTAAAATTAATCATGCTGACATGAAAATTAAAGATAACGTTTGTCCTTATTTAATTTACTTGAAAGCTTTCCTTAATAGTTGGCCAGTAGTAAAAAAAACTGCTCGTACTGTGGAAACAAGGTAAACCTCGAGATATCTCTCACACACAAAACGAAACAGAGCGGGGAGAAAATGAATGCACAGCACGTAATAAAACTCTGATGTTTTGTTGAATTCGGTGAATCAATGGAATGAAAAATTTTTTAAATAAGATGCACAAAAAATTTTGTCATCAACTTGGTGATATGAAAGTGCACGTAAAGTACATTAAAAGTGTAGAGATGATAAAGTTTCAATAAACAGTTCGTTAGAAAAAGTTATTTAGTGAAATAAATTGTTTGAGATCCGCTAAAAGCAGTTTTAATTAAGATACATATTCTGATGCATATCAGTTCAACTATTTTACTGACATAAAGCAACATTGTTTAATTGCTAGTATTATTAAATTAACATGACCTACATAATTCTTACAGCTCGTGATGCATTTGGAGTACATAGAGATAATATCATGTTATATCATCTTGTTTAAAATGTACTAGTTATTCTTGACTATATTTAGACTATTAATACTCGTAATTATTTTAAACCACTTGTTGAAAAATTTAACTAATTGAGTGCGTTTAATTTAACAATCAATAGAATTTTATTGCCTCAATTCAATCTTCATCTATTTTTGCAATAAGATAAGAAGAACTCGATGAACTTTTATTATTAGTTAACTTTTTAATTATTTAATAATAATTTTCTTGTTTATTTAATTATGTTTTAGTCACAAAAAATTTTTTCTCATTGCACCAAACACTTAACGGTTAGAAACCTGTAAATTACTTTCTTAACAACTGATAAGCTCGTTTTTCTGCATCCATAACGTGAGCAACGGTAAAGTAGATTTTATTTCCATTACATTTCAACAGTCGGTAAAAAAGTTTAAATTGCGTTTTTGACTAAATTTTTCAGAAAACAATAGAAAAAATTAATAAGAAAATATAATTTATAGATCAAAAGTATTTATTATATTTCATTAATACTATTTCCAATCATTTTTCTGTAAAATAGCTTGTAGTAGAAATACACCAGTATTCATACAAATAATTATAACAGTTTGTAAAAATTATAACAAATAATTAAAAATGATGACAAATTTTTTGATTTTATTTATTTTTCATAGGCATAGAACGATAGAAATAATGTGAAAGGATTTGGCAAAATGTATTATTGAACATACAAAATGATTCAGAAAGAATAAATTTATTTTTGAAAAGGGTTACTCATCTATATAATAATATATACGTTAATAATAATAAAACGCACAATGTTTGGGTTGATAATCAATAAAGATGATGCAATTTTTGTTTACAATCTAGTTTGAATACGCATTATGTTCGCGCGTTATTCTGTGTCGTAATATAACTAAACCAATAGGAAGCCTGCATTTTATTGAAACAGTGGAAATTCAACCAATTACATAGCTCCAAATTGTCTGCCTTGAATGCTTGCAGTGACGCATTTCTTGCCACGTTGGCAGTGTTCTACGAGCATGGGTATTATTTTACTATTCGTTATTGGCGTGCTGCGTTGATAACTGTGCAGTGATTTCAAGTGTTTGAGTTTCGACGTAGTAATTGCCTTAATTAATGTGGCGTCATTCTTGAAAATATAAGAAACATTTGCTCATTGTTAATGGGATTAACAGAAGAATGGAAATGGTCGGGGGAGGTCAGGTAATACCTGAATCATAATGGAGTGAGAAGGTTCAAACCGGTTACTGGCTCCGTTGTATCTTTCTGGGGTGGGGCGAGCATCCAAACGTCTGAACTATCGGCTTTTGCACTCATTCTTGGACTCTAGCACATTGTCCACTCCGAAACGCATGTTTTGCGTACTTTCTTCAGTAAAAAGTTGTTTTTTCTCTGGTGGTAGTGAATATTTTTTTTATCATTAATTAGTGAACTTGACCGATTAAAGGTTGGACTATTAATCGGGACAATATGACATCGTCGGCTCCAGACATGAGCCTGATGGATCTTCTCTTCGACAGAGAAGATCCTGTGTTAAAAGGAACTCTGAAGGATGAAATTCTCATGGAGGATAATTACAGTGACCCTATTGCGGTGAGTAATCAATAAATTCTTTAAAGAAAAATGTTATTCCTGTAAAAAAGTAATTTTTATTTAGTTTCTAGACAAACATATTTTTCTCTGTTTTATTTATCTTTCAATGTTTCAGTTGTGGTGTATAATTATTGATTATTTTTTGACGAATTTTATTCACTGGAAAAAAAAATTAAAAAGTGATTTGAGGTTTAAAAAAGTTTTTTTCTTTAATATTATTGAAAAATTATCAGTCATTGACTAGAATGAATTAACTTAATAATTTATGACAAGTGAAAAGTGATATTTATTAATAATTTATGTTCAAATCAAAAATTATCAGTGATTTTTGAAGAAGAATTATGGTACCGTTAAAATTTTTTAGTACCGTTAATCAAAGGCTTATTACATACAGCCATACATTCGCAGGGAAATACCCACATTCCATTAGCTTGCAGTGATATCTATAATAAGAAAATTATCATTGTGTAGTGAGAATTACCAAAAAAAATTCTCTTATTGATGAATTTTTAAATGTTATTCCTGACTGAATGTTTATTCAGGTGGTTTTTAGCCTGATCAAGATATCAAGTGGAATGCCGGTTTATGCTTGAAGAAACTATTGCTATATATTTAAATGAATAATTGATATTTGTGCTTTTAAATCACATGCTAAAGAGTTGTTTGCTTAAAAATGGCTATTCTTAAAGCTATTTTGCCCTCATTCACACACGTTCCCTTGGTGTGTTGATATTTTTCCTTGAATTTTAAATAACATATGGCACATACACGAGCCGCATGCGTATCAAAAACAGACGCTCAGCCATTTTATTTTGAAGCAAGTATGAATGACCGATCCTAATAAAATATTTTATGACTCATTTGGATTCATTGACTATTATAAATATTTCAAAATTGTTATCCTATAATGTTCTAATGCACTTTGGTAAAAAGTAAAACATTCGTATGTGAATTATTATTGAAATTGATTATCTAATCAATGATTATCGAGCATCATCATCAATAGTCCTGAGTCACTTATGTTGTAGTATTGACCTCGTTTTTATTCTAAAGTGACTAAGTAAAGATCGTACTGGTTTCTGGAAGTTTTTTTCTAGTACGAATATATTTACTCCAAAATATATGAAATTAAGAAACCACGTGCGTGATCATTTGCGATTTCTCGAAGCCATTTTGAATCCGGTTTTAGTCATGCACAGTCTGGAAAGCTTTTTATCTTTTGGTAATAATCGTTATCTCCGTTTTTATTCACAATTTGAGTCTGTTTACCAAAAATGAAGATTAATAAATCTTAAAATTTAAAGATTTTTTTTTCCTTATTTTCGATACAACATTTATTTAATTCTCTTGATGGTTTATTTGTTTTTTCAATCATCGAATAAATCATTTACATCTGATTTATCAAGATGGAATTTTTTTTTTAGAAATGCATCTAAAATGAAATGTTTTTAAATAGAATTACATAAGACAGGATTTTTTCTGACGTTTTTTCTTTAATATCCTACCTACAAAACATTTACAGGACCGGTATCATACCCCAGCGCGTCGACTAAAAACCTGTTTGGGGGAAACCTATATCTCTTAGATTTTTCAGTTGAAAAAATTTTTTTTCATCTACCTGTTACGGGCATTTACATTTGCCCTGGGAACTAAAGTGAGAAAGAGAAAAATATTTTGTGACTTTCTCAGCATTCCTGGATGTCAGCAGAAAAATATTGCATTCACATGTTTTTATTGTTGAACTTTAGTGGTAAAATGACCTCATTAAATGTCGTGTAATCTTGATAATATTGTTTTATCGTTTTCATTGGCACGAAATGTAGAGTACATGCCTGTACTGCATGCATATATTCGTATCTATTCAACTGGGAAGACTATATTTAGTTTCCATAAACCTAGAAACTGGGCTAACTTGACTTGAAGAATGCGTAACAACAGACTTTGAAATTCTTTATAAACTGTTACCAATAAAATTTTCCCTTATCATTAACATGATAAATATTATCAAGTATTGCCCAAATGTATTTTTAAAATCATTCAATTATTTATACAGCTTTATTTATCATAACTGTTGTGTACATTTTGTGATACACCAATAAATAATTATTTGTATGATAAATATTTTTATAATATTAAAAAAAAGATCATGTTAATCTTCATAAGTTGAAAAAAAGCGTTAAGAAAAACTTAACAATCTAGGTATACTTTCTATTTCTGTTTACAAATGAAAGAATATTTTGCTTAATTTTCTTTATCTTCAATAATTATTTAACATTTCTTTTGATTATATTTTTATCTTTCAACTTACGTAATTGCTAGCTTTGAAAGAATATTCAATGATTTCAATTTGTTTCATTTATTATTGTATCATGTCTTAGTATTAATTTGTCCATAATACTCAATTGATAGAAAAAATGTAAACAGAAAAATGAATAATAATGAACAATTAAACATTTTTGCAGACTGAAGAATGGCCAACAAATACAGACGATCTTCTAGACTCAATCTTCAAGTTGGATGATAATCAATTCAATTTAATTGATAATGATCTGGACACGATTCCGTCGTCTTCTTCAGATAGTGGACTATCTAGTGCTTTAAGTCTCACTTGTGAACAGCAGTTGAGCCCATTACTACCAATTGAAGAAGACCAAGTTGAGATCAGCCATGATAATCTAAGCAGTCCACAGAATTTCATGGACTTCCATTCTCTAGGAAGTCCTAATGATTCTGTGGGCAGTGTTGACAGTCCCATTAGATCAGTAATGAGTTCCAATCTTGGTTCTCCAGCGACTGATGTCACTGAAGAAATGGAATTTGAGCCAACTCTTGTTACAGCTGTAGATCCCAATGTTGTAGAAGGGTATACAGAACCTGTAGAAGTAATTAAACAAGAGCCTGTTGTTGACTTTGGTAAGCTTTTTTTGATATCATGCAAAATTTTTACATTGAGCAATATTTGATTCGTTGAAAGAAAAATTACGAAATAACATATTCTTGATAGCAATAAAAGTATCGATCCAATCATCTGTTTAAAGTGTGTCAAGTGGTGTGCGTCATCTTCATTTAATAACATATTTTATTCTGATGCAATACTTAGTCTGATGAGTTTTGCAATGATTTCCCTGACACTTGGAATTAATTTCATTAGATCAAGTTTAAAGGGAATCTAAAAAAAGCAAAATTTCTTTTGCTTTTGTATTGAGCTGAGAAGATAAAATAAATTTTAACAGCAATATCATGATTCATTTATTTTATCAAAAGTAATTAAATGTTTTTCATTTGAAGTAAATAATTAATTGCTTGAAATTGAATCCAAGTTTTAGTAGACAAAAAACTTGACACTAATTTTTTTTTTCTATCGACATTGTTTACATATAATGTTTAATTAAATTTTAGAGCCGGTCATCAAACCAGTTCAGAAACAAGAAACAACAATAAATCTAAGAAATTTGACGTGCAATGGAAAAAGAAACATTAGACAATTAATTCGAGTAACTCCAGTAGGTTCAGGAAATCCAAGATCAATTTTATTACCTGTAAGTTTGAAAGACATGAAAGAAGTGCATACAATAAAAATTATAAATGCAGCACAAGCAAGAAACTTGAAAGGTTTCAAAATAAATCAAAGCAATGTTATTAGTAAAGCTATACCGGTGAGTATTTTTATTATTTGCAATCCATTAAGTTGGTAAATAAATTTTCACACTTGCACCATAGTTAAGATTTTCATAAGACTATAATAATTATTTATATAAATATGAAAATTAATTTACCATTCTTAAAATATTTTTTAAATTAAAAAATGAATGTTCAATAAAAATTAATTATAGGTAAATATAAAGCAAGAAGATACTGCCAGTGAGAAGAGTGTTCAATCAAGCGATGAAGTATCAGAAACTGAATCTCTTTATCCCAGATTAAAACTCAATGCTGAAGAGAAGCGTCTTCTTCAGAAAGAAGGAATTACCTTACCTACACATTATCCATTAACGAAGCACGAAGAAAGAGAATTAAAGAGAATCAGACGTAAGATTCGCAATAAAATTTCCGCACAAGATTCACGTAAAAGGAAAAAGGAATATGTCGATGGGCTTGAAGATCGAGTTAAACAGTGCACGGAAGAGAATATGAGTCTTTTAAAACGTATCAAGGTACTTCAAACCCAAAATCAGAGTCTAGCAGGACAATTAAAGAGATTACAGGCTCTGATTCAGAAGGGTAACAAGAGTGCTCAACCTGCTACATGTTTGATGGTCTTGCTTCTTTCTTTGGCTCTTGTTGCTGTTCCGAACCTCAGACCACACTCTAATAACAGTTCCAATGAACTTTCAAGGAAACAGGAACAATCTGAAAAAATGCCTCCTCTTGCAGGTACAGTTTCTCTCTTATTAGTTTATACTAATTATCTGATCTAATTAAATTTCTTGCTAATTAATTGTTTATGGAGTCTAAATAATTTTTTAGTGAAATGATTAATTATCTAATAGTATAAATAATATTTTATAATTTTAAAGAGGAATGGATTCGTAAATGAAAATCAAATTGTTATTAATCATAAAAATTCATCTATTTTTTGAGATTCAGACATATTTGCTGATGTGAACGTGTTGAGTTGAAGTATTTGAACGGGTCGCGATGGGACATTGAACTTTCGAATTGTGAAAGGCTCACAATCTCCTCCATTGTCTTTTTTTAAGTTCCTCAGCCAACGCATATTTATTTCTACTTGGCTGGTAGAAGTCATGCATCAAAATTGAATATAATTGTCATTTAGTTTTTGTTAGAAAAATTTTTAAACTGTCCATTATTTAGGGTGATTAAGCAAAAAATATAGCACCTATGTAATTATAACATATATTTTACTCGTCAATGAATTTTCAACGAATATTTGCCATGTGACTCATAGAATATTTTTGATTTAATCGACGTAGGAGTCAGTTTGCATTGAATTGACATTAAATATTTGATAGATAAAGTTATCAAGCATTCAGTATCTAATATCGATGTCAATGATGAACCTTCAAAAGAACTAGGGCATCAGTAATATAATAATAAATGACAATGGTATACGGATAAGAAATACTTTCGAATCAATAAAAAGTCGTTTAACTACTTTCTACTGGACTGTCCCTGCAAAAAAATGCTATCTCGTTTAATAACTACTGCATTATTTTATTTAGAATCGCATGGACGACCTCAATAACAAAATTATTTGAAACTACTTGCAATTAAAATCTTGAAAAAATTTATCATTATTGGAAAAAAAATATTTATTAATATTTGTAAATATTGTGCATAGAGCTCTTCTGATTGTTTCAATAATAATATATCAAAAAGATTGAAGTTATAATAGATTGATTCTAAATTTGAAAAAAAAATAATTTCAAACAATTTGTCCTTTCAACATAATTTATCACAACCGCACAGTTAACTTTTATGACTTCATACTCACGTAATACTTACAGCCTTGAAGTTGCGCCTAATACTCATTTTTTCATGTAAATTCCAGGTCGTTCGAGAAGCCTGTTGTTCACAAAACAATTAGTAGATGAAGAACTGCAGCAATATGGAGAGGAATTGCTTCAGGAAGTCGAGGGTCTTCTAGACCATGACTATAGTCCAATAATGCAAGTTCCGCTCTACAAACGACCTCGCTATGACTCTGAACAATCAACTAAATACGGATCATCTTTAGATCACACAGATGGAACATTCACAAAAAAATCTGAACTTCCAGATACGAAGTTAAGCAAAAAATACATTGAACCACCACTTGACGATGTATGGCCTCCACCGAAGCCTGGTGAGGTATCTTCAGTAAAAATTGTTGATAAACTCGAACCCATAACAAACGAGTTTAAAATTAATATCTCAGATGCAGACGGTACTCGAACAGTGGTGGTAAAGGTACCTCAAGACCAATAAAAGTTATTTGATTTTTTTATATTTTTAAATACCATGTATTGCCATTGCTGTCAACATGATACATCCATAGTTATGAAAAATTTTATCTATGCTTATCTATGAATATTTTTTTATAAAATTTATCATAATGATCATTAAGAATGAGTAACGAATACTAGTTATTAATTACAATAATTCTTGATATTTTTAAAATTAGATAAACAATTTCAGTTTTATTTACTGTATAGAGTAAATTAAGTTTGCGTAATGTATGTTCTTAAAGAATACATTTCTGAAGAAAATAATAATTTACTGACTGCAAAAGTAGATAACAAATAATTGCTAGAAGAAAATCTATATGACATAAATATAGTTATTCTAGAAATAATTGTAAATATAATTATGTTAATAATTTACGCGTAAATGCTGATTTTGTAAGTGGAAGAATGAAAGAGTGATAGTGGGAGAAATAATTAAATTTCAATGTTAATGTTTTAAATGGAATTTATCGAAATATAATTCGATGATAAATAGTTATAGAAATAACTTTAAATGAGAACTCTAAGATAATTGAAATGCAAAACGATCTTTAATACTTCGTTGAATAGTTAAATTTATATAATTGATAAATAACAGAGCTATTCATTCAAGTAACTCTAGAATATTGTAAAGAGGAGTAATGATTTTATATACCAATAACTAACCACAAATATAAGCATAATATTATCTATAAAATGTCGATGCTTTGTGTGTAATGAAAGCTTAAAGACTGTGTCCAATTGTAAAAGTTTACTAACAGTAATTATTGTAAGGTCAATTTATCTTTCATCTTATTCTAACGAAATTGTGATTGCTTGGAAGGCTAATTCATCTTTTCATTCAAATGTTTATTTACAAACATCTTTCCCATATATTTGTAAATAAAATTATAGTTTTTAGTAAATTCATTCATTCATAGTGCAAAATTGTATTTGCATAACGAAAAATATAAATAATAATATATCAATATTTAATACGTAATACGCATTTATCAACCTGTATTACATAATAAATTTGATATATTATGTTTTTATTGTTTGAAAGTTTCAAAGGTACTTAGGATAAGTACATGTTATTATTATTAAATGAAACAGGATGACTACTATGCAAATAAAGGATTTAGATATTTAAAAAAACGTGATGTCGAAACATAATTATAAAAATTAGATATTAAGTTGTTTTTATCACTGAATCATACTGAGCATATGAACCATTTTTATTTGTTATAAGAATTAAGTTATCGATAAAGTTTTGGCAATATTTCATTACAATATTATTAAATGATCAATATTAAGAAGAATTGCAAAATTTTTTACAATTTGCCACCTAAATAATTGTACTACTTGCTACATTTTGTAACAAGACATTCTATTATTAGTATCTTCCTACACATTCCTATTTTCTCTGTAATATATTTAATTAATCAATGGAGTTATATTTTTGCACACAATGAATTTCAAGAGAATTATTATTCACAATGAGTTATTTCATGTATTACTATGATTTATGAGTGTAGAAATGTTATCAAGAAAATATATCGATATGATTAAAAATATGAAATCAATTGAGAGATTTATTTATTATACATAATTATTTCTTAATTAATTATAGCTTATTGTGATTTCAAGTTAGCCAGTTTTGAAATTGTAATTACCATCAATTATTAAATTTGGAGTAGAATAGAAACTCCAGCAAGAGTCCATTTAGTTGGCTTATCTCGAGTTTTAAGATTAAAAGTCCACACATAAGTTGGACCTCGTACTTTAGTTTTGTACACGGGACAATCATAAAGATTCCTTAAATCTTGTTTATCTTGGGTTATAGCTCTGATATAAACTACTGGCATTTGGGGATATAATTCTTTTAAACGTGAATCAACGATCGCATTTATTTGCATATCCCAACGAGCGCCTTCCATGTATAAACTATTTATGTAAGCACCTTCACGAGGTGCTGATGTGATCTCTTCTTTAAATTTTTTGGTTACATCACAATGAAGACACATTTTGTCAAGAGGCCATTCATTTTTTCGTGCTGTTTGTTGCATTATTGCTGTTAAAAATGACTGAGGATTAAATAATCCACCTAGCCATAAAGAAGATGGGAGCTGAAAATAAACATTAATTTATTTTCCTTTTCCAAATAGCTTAATAATTAAACTTCAATAATGCAAATGGTTTGTAACTTACAATAAAGTCTGCTGTCCAATTAGCTAACTCAGAAACTCGATTTAGCATATCAGTAAACCAGCTAGTTAAACCTAAAGTGGATGGATAAGCTTTTGCAGTCCATGAAAAAGGAACAAGATCCATAAATAGATAATTTTGTAGATCTTCCATCTCAGCATTAATTGTTAATTCACCCTAAAGATTTTATGATAACGATAGTAAATAATATATAAATCAAAAAGTAGTTGGAATTCATTACTTTTAAACCAAGTTCCAATTCCAAAAGAGATCTTTTTAACTCGGCACAAAGAATATTCATTCTCTCACACTCTTGTAAAGCAACAATCACAAATGGTGTGCGTTCATCAACTTTACTCATCAACTCTGGAATATTAAATTCTTCTGGTAATTTCTCCAGAATATTCTCAATAATTGTCCTTAACTTTTCTTCTTTAGAAGAGCCATCTCTCGAACTTTCACCAGTGTCTTTTGGTTGCATCTCTAATAGAATTTTAAACAAATTTTCCGCAGTAGTTGTTAAAAAGCCTAATGAAATAAACAAGAAAACATGGACATAAATATTAATAAAAAGTAATGAATAATTTTCATTTGAAGTTTTTTTATGAATATTTTAAATATACGTGGTTAAGGTAGTCTTACATTTCCATTTCAACGAGATAAATATAAATTTAAAGATAATTTACCAATTTCGGCATTTGGATGGAGTCCATACAGAACAGGACTTTCAGGAGGTAAGTAATGATCAATGTATTGATGATAAGTATCATAATCGCTGTTAGGTGGTGCTAAAAATCCAGGAGCCAAATACAAATCACCATCGATAAGATCAGATTTTAAATATTCAAATAAATAAGTGCGACATAGTCTTCGATCCCAGTCATCCGTAATATGACCACCGTACATAATTTCTCCAAATAAATATCGCAAATCATCCCAAGGAACTTTAGTATTATTCTCTAAATAATTTGTTAAAACTGAAACACTAATTGTTAAATCTCCCACATTAAAAGGGTATATCTGTAATGAAATTAATTTAATGTTTAATTAAAATCTATGATTTGTTTACTGAGATTGAATATACTTTGAATTTATGTTTAAATATAAATTAACCATGAATAATAATGAATTTTATTTTAGTGAAATGAAACACTTACTCGATTCCATCCTTGGGGTCCGAATTTTCTTCTCTCAGCTACCACAGCATGAAAGTAGCAGAGAGCAAATAAAATTCCCTTGAATTCAGACTCTTTTGAACAAGAATCAAGAATTTCTTGATTAAAGTTATCCAATGCCTTGTGTATATTTGCATGCATTCCAGTCGGAGGTTCGTTGGTAATTTTTATAGCAGATTCTAAGATTCCCTATGAAACAATAAACATGAAATATTTAAAATTATTAAATAAGATATAATAAATGTAAAGAATATTTGATGAATTCATTTTGTAGGTGATTCCTACTTGAGGTATAATACATTCATGAGGATCAAGAGAAGGTTCAGCACTTATAAAAAGTCGATAATCTGAATGAGAATTTTCTGATAATTCATCCATTTTCTTTTCTAAACTTGGTAGCCAGGTTTTAACGAGATGAATATTCTGCAAAATCACCCAATGCCCATTTGCAGCAGCTAAATCCATAGCTGCTTCAGCTACTGGTTCTTGACCTTGGCCTAATGATATATTATGGAAGTTACCTCCATCAAAAGTAAATTTCAAACGTTTTCCAAGCTTTTCAACGTCCTTAAATTAAATTGAATAAAATTATAAGGATTAAAATCTTGATAACTAATTGACAAGTAGCCTAAGCAATTTATGGCATTCATTAAATATATAAAATAATGGTGGTTTAATACCTTAAGAGGATCAACGCCAGGGGAAAGGATAAAAAACATTGGAGTTATCGAACTCATTTCCTCAAACGATTTTTCAAATGGCGAAGAACGTGATTCAGTATATTTTGGTCCCAGCTTTTCTTCAACGAAGCATCTGAATGATGGAAGTGATTTATCATGCAAATGAATAATAAATGATATGTGTAGTGATTTTTATGTAATAAAGTAAAAAGTTATTGTTATTTTAAAAATGTATTACCGAATTGCATAAGTCATTCGATCAATTCTTAAACAACGCATCATACAGAGTCTTTGTAATGCAGACTTAGTTTTCCACTCCTGTGGAAATTTTTCTCTTTCAGGTGTTTCTGATTCAACAAATTTCTTCCATCTCTTTGCTGCACCTTCAATATCACGATCGAGGTTTTTAAACTCGGTCATACTGCTCAGAAATTTTATTCCACCCCATCCTGCATTACTTAAAAACTCAACTGGAGTTATAACATCTGGATGATGAGGATATCGAAGAAGAAAGTCTAGCTCAGCTGATGATATTTCATTTGTTTGAATGAGGATCTATTTTTAAAAAAATACATGAATAAACAGTAGATATATCTTACAAAATAAATTGCGTAAGCAATATTCATTATCCGATATATTTTTTTTATTTGTAATGCAATCTTTCGTTTTTAATAATTTTTTTTTTCAATATAACTTTAATGAATGAACTGATATTTAAATAAAATTTTGTAACTTTATTAATTTCATTTATATCTGTTTTGGATATTGTTTTACTCAAGTGAATTGAATTTGCAGTTTTTGGGTTATCGATAATAGTATCGATTATAAACATTGCGATTATTATTAACGTTTCAGTATTTGCGCGTAGTTCAAACCGACGCCGTTGATGAGTGACGCGTTGATTCGCGGTATTGTTTGTTGTGAGCGTACTGCGTTTTTTATTATCAGTAAACAAGTGAAAATAAATTGTTTGTAATAATAAACTCACATTGTTGACTTCATAGAAAATCGTGAGTGTATTATTGTGCTATTGTTTTACTAAATAACCTGGTAAAACTGATAAAAACGTTGTTCTAACTTAGATATCTACGTTATTTTTTTCTTAGCAATAGAGTAATATAATAATAATGATAGTTTAATCAGTGTGTTAAAAGTGAAAAATTACCTGAATTGTCATCTGACAAAGAAAAATGAGCTTATCACATTCAAATAAACCTCGACTTGTATACATGAAGACAAGGTAAGTAATACTATCGATCAATAATTGAACTCTTTTTTTCACATTATCAGAAGTTTCAGCAAACTTGATAGCATTCTGAAATACTACACTAAATGCTTTAAGTGAAAATTGATACAACATATTGATTTTGTATAAATCATTTAGGATAAAATACAGAAGACTAGCTCGTGCAGCAGCTGGACGATAGTAATCTCGAGCTTCATCGATTTTAGCAGCAGTTATTTTAGCTTCAGCTGCTTTTATCTCAATGTTATCTGCTGTTTTTTTTGTTGTTTCAAGATTGGTCACTAAGACAACGTCACTTAAGATATCTGGTCCAGCTGACGCGAGACGATACAATAAATCGTCTTCTAATGTTTTCAAAGTAATCTTAAAAGTGTTCTGTTGTTTCGTAAGTTCAGCTTTTGTATTTTCCAAGTCTGGCCTTTCAGCTTTCACTACGTCACCAAGTAATTGTTCTTCTAATCCATCTCGAGTCACAGTGAAATTAATAAGAGTGGTTTGAGCTTGCATCTCTGGTTTGTAATGTGGGTTTGAAAGTTTGGTTTGCAATATCAGTCGAAATTGAGGGTTGTAATCTATTTCTTTATCTCCAATTTTTATTGCTCTAAATTAATGAAATTCATTTGATAAAAAATTTAATAAATGCTCTAGTTTACATTAACTCATTGCGAGTAAGATACTTACTGGCCTTTTTTAGTAAGCACTCGACCTAAAATTGGATCTAAAACTGCATCAACTGATTCGCCTATATTTTCAATTAAAACTATTTCACCATTTGCAATTGCAAATTCAAGTTGATCTAAATAGTTTTTTAGATCTAATCTAATGATTTTGAGTTCATCTCCATACATGGCTTTAATCCATTTTATACCCTGAAGCTGTGGATCGATTATCAGTGGCCATCGTGTAGAATTAATAAAAATTATCGCATTTTCAGCAGACATTGTGTCTGATGGTAAACCTGATAGATCATTCAAAATTAATGTTAAATAAGTATTGAAATTTAGAAGATATAATATAACGTGAATTCACCATCATTATTCCATTGTGCTATTTGTGCATCATCAGTCAGCAACGAGAGCGGATCTAAATTGGGTGTTCGGGGTATTGGATTTTTTAATTTTTCTAGAAACGGTATCCAATGGTTATTGAATAAATCATGTCGATATTGACGAGTAAAACATCCTACGTATGAAATAAACGCTGTTCCTAAAAGCAGGTCACCAGGAACTGTTTCACATGAATTCTTCAGTCTGATAATCAATTTTTTTTTATTTACTATGATACATTTCATAGAATAGATGTATTTAAAATATATACTAAGTTACTAGTAAAATGTACTTTTTGGAAAATAATTATTCCAAAAAATTATAAATTGTTTTAGTATTATTGACTGTATTTAATTATCCTAAATTTATTATAGTGTTGGAAATCACATAAATTAACACCCGTTATTGACTAAACTTCATTATTCACATGATTTCAAATTTAATGAGCATAAAAAAAAGTATTTATACCTTTCTATCGTTTTAGTCCATCGTATTTTTTCTGATGCTAAACCATTAACTAATCTGTTAGCTAAATCTATCGTAAAAGCAGTTTTATCAGCTTCGTCTTGGCATTTTTGTTTCTCTTCCAAAGCAACGTTCATTTTTTCTCCAAGCACATCCAATACTTCTTGTAGTTCCTACACAAAAATGCAATTATCGTGGTTGAAATTTATGCAAAACATTTTTTAACATTTAACTAATATCATTAAATTACTTGTAAACGTGAACGAAGACCCGTAAGTTTCTCCATAGCATGTTTTAATTCTGCATTCGCTTGAGCTAGTGCTGCTCTAAGTGGTTTAACGTTCAAATTAATATAATGAAAGACCATAATATTTTTTACCCAACTACAGAGTCCAGCTGCAGCTTTAGATTTGGAGTAGATGATATCTGGATCGAATCCTATATTAAATCGCGTAATTTTAAGATTAAACATCTTTTGATATATATAGATACATTAGTTTTTACCAATAACCCAAAGTATACTTACACACATATATGAAGCCAAAAGATTTATTCCAAACTCACCTTTGTCATTTATATAAGGCTGTATAGCTTTCACTACATCGGGATGAATATTCTCCTTGTCGTAATTGCGGAGCGCTGAGAGAAAAGCATCAGCTCCACCCATCATTGCTTTGCAAGCTTTCCAACTTCGATCCTTTGGGATTTTGCCCTTTGGGGAAAAGAGCACTAAAACGGCTTGGGCAACATTTGCAACGGCTTCCGGCGGTGTGCCAAAGGATTTTAATTCAGTCAGGTTGTTCTGTATTCAAATCAAATGTTTCATATTAAGCAAAATAAATAATTGTAAAGGCAAAAAAAAATACTTAATGAAAGTAGTTTATCCATAAATTTATTTAACATATTTGAAATCGATAGAGTAGACATAAATATTGTTCTTAAAGAAATTAATAATAGAATGTTTTTCATTTACATTTATCTCAACTGGTTATATGAAAATAAAGAAACTAGAAAATTTATGCGACAGACATTTTAACATATAAAATATTTCAATATGACCTAAAAAAATCTCATACTATTCTGACAGCTAGATATTTATTTATCAAAAAATTCAGATGTTTAATGTGGGTATATACCGATAAAGTTCTGTGTTTATAAAAAATAAAATACCTTGTTCAAAGTGTCTAGTGCAGCTTCTGCTTGACGTACAGCAGGTTCTGCTTTTGCTAAATCTTCATCACACCTTTTCTGCTTCTCCCACACTACCTCCTTAATCTCTGCTACTCTAGCTTCTTCCTCAGAAACTTTGAAAGACAATGGAGAACAATCAGGGTATTGTACAACTCTATTCGCGAATAGTTTCAATGACAGTCCTACTGACTTCTTGAGTAGTTAAGAATTACCTATCGCCTTCTCTATTTCCGCTTTTGTGTTCTCTTCCCGTACCTCAGCTAAGATTTTGTCAGCTATCTCATTCTTCTTCTTTAGTTCGACTTCCTGAACAGCTAGAATCGCTTTCAGCCCGTCTACCTGGAGAGTTGAATTAGTTCGTGTGGGAAAATTAAAAGCTTTATTCCCCCTCGCTACGTATATCGATCGTTTGAGTATAGGATTTCAACGTTAAACTGATTTTAAGTATACCTGTTCACCACAAGTCTCCAATTTTGTTATTCCATTCTCTAATCTTTTGATTGTTCCCAAAAGCTCATGAGTTTTTTGTTGTAGTAATTTTGAATAAAGAGATATCTGCTCCAAAAAAGACTTAGGGGTTGTGTAATTATATCGCTTTTCATTTTGTAAATATATCTCTGATACTATATTAACGCTCACGTGGACAAAGGACATAAATTGTGATACAGATGGTTTATATTGCTCTGGTAATTCTTCTAGCTCCTGTAATTAAATTTCATTGACTTGACTAGGTTATTGTTGAGATAATGATTTTTTAAATTAACGACTAAAGAGCATGAAAAATGACTGTTTATTATCCCCATGTGATTTAATCAAAAAATAAAATAAAACAGTAGATTGAAAGTTATTCATTATTAATTTTTCACATGTTGTTTAGTGCAAATATTTTTTATCAGATATAAATTTTTAATTTCACAAATTAATAAAATTAAAATTGGTTGATTTATTTTATAAATTATTCTATATTAGTGAAATGAATAACTTTTCTGTGTTATAAGAATAAAATTCTTCCTTAAGACTATTAAATATTTTTTAAAATTACATTTTCCCTAAAATAAAATGCTTTTTTTGATAACTGGTAATTATTACCGCGATAAATCGGGCTGAAACAGATTCTAAGGCATCCTGAGGCCAATCTTGGAACCAGTTGATAGACGTGCAATTGACCAGTGCCGGAAATTGTCTAGCTCTCTTCCTCAGAGTCGCTCCAACTGGTGAGAAACATAGCACGCACTTTAGGTGTTTTCGTACACGATCGATAAAGAATTTCCAGCAATTCTCTTTCGTGTCCATCATTCCTACCAATTTAACCTGAAAGAAATAGATAAAAAACATAGTAGACATATAAATTAAATTTTTATTAACTATTTTATTTAAAATCAGTGCAATAAATTGGATGAATATTTACTTCATTTCGTACTGAATTGATAATATTATCAACTTCATCGTCCGGAAAGAGCTCGATTATGTCTCCGGATGCAAGCATGTCATTAACAACAACTAGAAATTTTTCTTGAGCCACTTGAGAGTCAGACATAAGAAAAGTAATGCCGATATTCTTCAGACCCGCTTTCAAATATAATCCTGCTAAATCGACTTTCAAATCGTGCATCGAATAATCTTTTTTTAGTTGCACTTGAAATACCTATTGTAGATTTAGAATGCAATGTGATAAACATTTGAGAAAATTGAATACTCAGTTAGTGTTCAACGGGTGGAAGCAGTTTGCAACTTCATGTACCTCTAGCCCAGATATAAAGGATGCTAAACGAGATAGAGATTGTTTTCCACTACCACCAACTCCTACCAACAATGCATTACCTCTTGGTGCTTCAAGAAGTCGGTTTATGCGACAAACGTGATACATGGCATCTTCAAACATCACTAAATTCATCGCTGCTACCTACAAATGAGAAGATACATTAAATGGATTATTCATTTCGAACCTTCTTTATAATCTCATTTCTGCTTTGCGAGCTAACTTTTAATAATGATTCATAGATAATTACCAGATCATTGTAATTCATCAAAGCTTCATTCAATAATTTTGTCAATTGTGGCCATTCTTTTATTGGCATGTATTTTGGATCACCCATACCTTCAGCAAAGTGACAATAAATTATTGGTTTCTCAAAAACTACCTCTTCATCTAAATCCTATTAAATTTAAAAAAATAACGATTTTCGTTAATTAAAGTATTAATACTTCCTTCAGCAAACATTCAGAAAGAATATTTTTACGCAAAATACATATGATATCATCAAAGTAAATTTTACTAATTTGCTATTATGGCCATGAATGAGTTGATATTATATTCACTTGTATGGTTTAATGATTAAATCTAAATTAGTTCTAAAGCTTCAATAGTAATTTACTTGCCAAATTATATTACTATTATATGATTCATCATCTCTTGTTTATGACGGTGTAATATTAATAATTTTGTCATAATTTTTATATTTATTTTAATTTATTCAATAATAGTTTGATGAAAAATTACTTGGATATTTTTCCGAAGTGCATCTTGCAGTAGTGATTCAAATATTTTTTTATCCTCAAAATTAACTAACTTGTCGCAATATACGCGGTTTGCCTCGTGGACATACAAACGAATAGCTGCACTTGAGTTTGGAATTGTGTCACCATTTGCAAACAAGTAACCCTGCAATTTAGTTATATGAGTTACTTAGTGTTTGTATGAAAACAAAGGTTTTCAATTAATGCACTGTTGTTATTATATTACCTGAAATAAATTTGACAAGTCGCGTAGATTGAAGATATAGTGAAACTTTACTGCAGTTGGTAGGAAGGTTGTGGAAACTTTATCGTGAAGATACATCGCTGTATTTATTAGTGGATTCACTAATTTCTGAAGCGTTATATTTATTTTTTGTTGCGGATTCGCAAAATGTTGCTGCAGTACTTGGCTGTAAATTGTAACTAGAGCATCACGTCCTGGAAAGCTGCAACAAAAATCTCATTCAGTATTATTCCGAACAAGGAGTAACATTTAATTTAGAAAAAATGTAAATTGCGAATTTTTTGTGGTAGGATTTTTTTTTCAGTGGTAATAATAATTATAGTAATTATCGCACTACACTATAATAGTTCATTTGATGGAAAAATTTCTATCTAATTAAGAGTTCTTTTTTTCGTATGAAACTTTTCTACAAACATTGTTAAAAATCAATTGATGTTTCTAAAACTAATGGAAATTTTTTATTCAAATTTAAAAAATTTTTTTTAATTTTCCAATATTATGGATTTTTAATGTGTTGGAAAAAATAAATTTTTTTATATTTAATCTACATTATAATACATAAATGTAAATTGTCCCCTTACATATTGTATTGTCATTAAAAATGTATATTATCAATTACATTCAATGTGCTCAAATTATATTATTCACTATTATAGACTAAATTGAGTTTATATTTTATAAATAATTTATTGAAATTGTTCTCTCCAGCTAGTAAAAATGATCACGTTAACATAAATCTATTTTTATGCAAACTATATGATCGGTATTGAGGGCGACACCTGATCGATAAACCGTAATTACATAAAAAATAATGAAATTCGTGATTAAGTTCATGAGGAAATATGATAAAGCCCATATTAGAATTTAATTACAAAACTTTGCACGCATAAATTACTCACTTAACTGCAAATACAGCGAAATGACGCTGCAGGCGAGGATCTATTGTAAAACTTCCTGCGGTTGGATTCATACAGGATACGTACTGGGTATTATGGATGTCTTTTAAAGTTAATTTTACACGATCATACCTATACAAATAAGTGTAAAATCTTTGGAGCGAAATTTTTGTAAATCGTATGTAATAGTTATGAAAAAATTAAAATATACCAATGATTATAATCCAAATGTTGTCTCAATAGAGTATGAGGTTGTACAGTCCCATAAGTATCCACTTCCGGCATATTCATATCGTCAATGAAGTAAATTAATTGTTTGGTTCCCGGTGGCCCATAATTGCGTCCTGCTTTTTTCTCAAGATACTTTTCAAGTATTCTTTGCAACATTTCTGTAATTAGTACAAAAATACATAAGCATTGTTTACACTTGGTGATGATTAGTATGATTATTACCGGATGAAGTATAGTAATTAAAGGGTACATTGGCAACATTGTAATTGTCAGGTAGAGAAGACAATTTGTCAGAAACTACTACACTTTTTCCTGAGCCAGCACTGCCCACCAACATCACCGGAACTTTCTTCTTCATTAACATATCTATGAAAAAACGCAGACGTGCAGTTTCTCCAGTTGGAACTAGAGAAGACTGGAACGAGAGAAGGATTTCTTTCATTATTACATTTATGCCATCAACCGGAAGTAATTAAGAAATTTTCTAGAGTATTCAAAAAATTTCTGTACTTTAATTGAGTTTTTGACAATTTAATTTATATACCGGCAAGGGAATGTCCATGTCTAGAACAAATTTATCAACTTTTTCACTCCATGGCGTCAGTTTTTTCGTTTCATTATCGATGTAGTAATTAAATACTCCACCTTCAGATGGAAATTTGATAGTTTTAAACTCATTTATCCACCATTTGCTAAACTCATTCCTCCAGTCGATTAATTGGTCCTTGAACATAACTGATCCAAATGCCCAAATGCATGCAAATGCAAAATATAATTCATACCATTCTTTAGGACAATCTGGTGGAACATTTTCACTTGTAAGAAAACAATCCAATAAATTACATAACATTTGCAAATGACAAATTTCCGGTATAGGTGTGATTTTCTTGAATCTCGTTTTTGATATTTCTAACAAAGGTGGAAGATATTTATCAAAGAGAATAATTAAGTTTGCACGTTCTGTGTTATCTCTAGTCTCTATCCAACTTGTTATATATCTAGAAACCAATTTATTATATTAAAATTATTACTTTGGTAATTAATGAAGAACTGTGATTTAAATGAGCATTCAATTTTTTTTGATGTAAAACTTGAAAGTTCTACTTGATATCAGGTAATGGATTGAGCATCAAAATTTAAACATCAAGTAATCTCTTAAACGTCTATTAATAACAAAACTGGAACATCACATAGAACTTTTGATTAAAACGTCTATATTTTCCGATTTCAGAAAAAGATTTTTTCTCAATAAAACTTTTTTTTTAATATGAAAGCACTTCAATAATAATTATTTGAACGGTTGGAAAAATTTAAAAGCTTTACTAATTACTCTTTATAAACTGTTTTTATTTGTATTATTATTTTAAAAGCAAGTAAATATTCAGAATATATTTTTTTATATAATAATTATGATGAATTACTAAACCTCTTATTTATTATTCAATAATTAAATTTCGATATTAAATATAAAAACTTACGGATTCCAGCCTAAATCTTGAGGATTAATATAAAGGATTCCAGCTCGTGAAACTGTGGCAGGTGTAGCAGTTTGCAAATTAGAAATTTCAAAGAGAAGTCTCATGTGTTTGGTCAATGCAATCCTTTCATTACTAGCCAACGTCAAAACTTTATTATCATCCATAACTGTATTAAGCGATTCAATCCACATGGGATCAATGTCACCATCAAAAATAATCCATTTTGGACCATCGCCAGTCATATTCGCTTGATCTCGCATAATTACTGATATTAAACTAAAACATATATATATATATATATAAATTTAAATATTATTTCATCGTTTAAAACACATTTAATTTATTTCTAAAAATAGAAACAACAAATAAACATTTTTATTACCCGTCTCTCCATTCTCTTGTTGCAGGGTGGATAATCCCGAACAGTTCGTCGTTCGTTACAGCTTTTGGATTGAGGTCGTTGTAATGAGGTTTACGTTTTTGATTGACGTACGTTCGAAACAGAGTTTGCCACACTTTGGTTTTCCCAGTGCCAGCAATTCCAACGATAAATACCGAATGCCGAACATTTAAAAGCTCTTCCAGCTGTACCACCTTCAAACCAATCGAATCAAGTGAGTAATAAAATTTCAAATTGATATTTACGTTATTTATTGGTTTGATGATATATTTTCATTAAAAATAAAGAAAAACAATTTACATTGTTTCACATAATATTTTTAACTATTAATACTGACATAATATAAAAAAATTACTTTTAAAATAAATCCGTCCTCTGGTTGCATCTTTAAATCAATTGCAGCACCACGAACTGTTTTTTCAAACTCAAAATCCCGTTTACGAGGTACATCGAGTGCAGGAAATAAATCTCCAATAAGCCCCATAAATACAGGTATATCGTCAGTAACTATTTTAGGAGTATTAAAATCTCTTAAAGCTCTCATTAAAACTTGATCTTCTGGACGTTGTCGATCTGCGCGTTTTAATTTTCCAGCAACAACAAGAACTGATTTAATAGCTCGTAGGCCCCAGTCATAGTGGTCTTGCTTTGATAAAAGTTCTCGGCAAAGGGTATAAAGAGTAATAAATTTTCGCGCTAATAAACGTGCTTCTTGGAAACCTTCTGCCACTAACATTATTTCACAAATAAGACCAAAGTCTGGGACAACCATAGCACAAGGTCTAAAAAAATTGATACAAAAAGACAAAGTAATTCTTAGTTATCGATAGTTCAGTTTGAAGTAGGACTTGATTCATTTTTAATTACTTTTAATTAATTAATGATTAAATAATAATTTTTCCGCCAGCACTGTTCAATGTATTAAATAATTATTTCATGAAAATGTAAGAGGAAATTAATTATAAATGTTATTTAATAAGTTTATTCACATAATAATAAATCGATTTATTGATCATGTCAAATTATTTTTAGCTGGTTGTTTAATGAGTATCAGAAGGAAAGATTTAGTTAGCGAGGTGAATATATTTATTCAAGAGTTTTATACCGAGAAAAAAATATTTATTTAATTATTGAATATTTTTGATTTATTTAACCGTTTTAAAAACCAAAATTTCTATAAAAATTTAAAAAATTGCAAAATCTTTAAATAACATCAAAATATTGTTAAAAATTCATCACCAAAAGTCAGTCAAAAAAAAAAATGTATTCATACCGGAATAATGTTTTTAGATTTTCTGGAAGCTCAGTCCTTCCAGCATAACCAGGATTCATTGTTATAAAAATCCCAACTGTGTTAACCAAATTCAATTCTTCACCAAAGAATAGAAATTTTTTCTTTCTGCTCTTGATACCATCAAGAATACATTTCACCTGAACAGCTACTACCGAAAGAACTTCAACAGATATCCGATTGAATTCATCAAAGCATCCCCAAGCACCAGTCTGAGCTAACCCTTTGTAAATATTGGCACAAGACTAGACAAGTATCGAAAGTTATAAAACAAGTAAAAGCAAATAGTGGTAAACCTATCAATAATTTATTTTGTTAGTTGAAAAAACATACTTTATAGTCCAGTTGTTCAGAACAATTGAATACATAGACCATTTGACCTAAAGCACGACCTAAATCCTTTGTGGTCTCTGTTTTGCCAGTTCCCGCAGGACCTGCTGGTGCACCTCCCATCACTAAATGCAGTGATTGTGTGAGAGTAATGTAGCATCTATCTGTCAGCGGTGTGATGACCAAACGCGGGACATTCCCCAGATATTCGTAGCCATAGGCAAAATTTGCGTCACAGATATTTGCAAAACATTCAGCGAGGCTATCATCCCATCTATGAAATAAAGAAATAAAAAACAATTTAAAATAAGTTGATCAATGAAAATCATGCTTTTAATCAATTTATTATTCTCAATAATTATTAAAGTAAGAAGCTGTCAACTAGAAACATCCAAAAAGTTTTAATATTTGATTAACTTTAAAAGCCTCTAAAGTAACAAAATATATATATCCGATTAAATTTTTTGAGTACTGGTTCAAAGTTAATCCTTCTCAGTGTTATTTTTTGAAGTTAATTATTAACTAGCAAAATATATTTCTACTATGAATTTTTTTCTTCTAAAATTCATAAGGATTAATTCCAAAAGTTCACAAGATTTATTGAGATTTTATTTTTTTTCAAAAAATAAAAAAACTAATAATATATTGATTGATTCTATTAATAATTTATTGACTACAAACTAATATAACTAAATAAATGTAACTACGATAGATACCTATGGCGTAATTGTGCTTGCCACTGAAAATTTGATGAATTTTCAGCTTTTGTTGTTATCAATTTATCAACCACGTCTCTGGCATGAACGTCAATAGTACATATTGTCATAATTTTCTGTCGGTCGTTATCACTCAACTCTCCACAGAGAATATTGATCAATACACTCAGCTGATTGACTTGCTTCTTTTGATAATCTTTGAGAGCATTTTCAAAGCCTTCCTCCAATCTAGCAAAGGCCATGTTTACCTCAGCAGTCCACCAAATTTGAGTACCACACAAAGCAGGTTGAGCTTCATAATCTAATATCCATTGTTCCCTTGGCTTCTCGTCATAAGAAGCTACTGCTTGACTAAAGTGATATCTTACACTTCTTCTCATAGCGTCTGTTACACGATTTAACCAAATTTCCACGACCCCACTGCAATCACAAACTCCATGCATGCTCATCTCTTCTCCGTCCTTCGCAATCATGCCATTAGCTATTTTCGTTGGCTTCCCCCCTTCTAATTTCCATTTCAAATTAGCTATGGAATCATATAATTTTGATAAATGTTTACAGACTAATTCTGGATTGTTTCCTGAAATATTAAAAAAAAAGTATCGTCTACCTGTATAATAAAATTACATATTATTAAGTAATTCATTGAATATTGAAAAAATCTGATGTACTTATGACTATGTTTATCTAAACTAAAAGACGTATATTCGTGATTGAAATTTTTTTTAGTTCTAAGTCTGGGAACTTGAGACAAACTAGGATTTATGCAAAAGTTCGAAAAATTTATTGCAATAATTATTTAATAATTTAAATATCAAAACATGACATTTTTTATTTGAAAAAAGGTTTTTTTACTGAAGTAGTAATAACTAAAAAATGGTTTGAGTCAAAAGCTTCAGTTTCCCAATTAAACGAAAAAATCTCAAATGGCTTTTTTATTTCAGAACGTACATTTTCAGTAAATTAGAGATTTTTTTTTTCGATTTTTATAATTTTATAGAACACTATAGTAAATAAAAAAGAGGAAAACATTTTAACTAGCTCAAACATTTTAATAATTTTAAAATGAAATTGGTTTTTATATTTACTTAATAAAATAAAAAATAATTATTATTTAAGATTAAAAATAGATTAGTGTGTCTCAGTTTTCTTTACGAGTATCTATTAAAGTTTTTCTTACCAATCTAATAACGAAAATTTTAACTAGAGAGTATCTACCGTTACTGAGAATATCCAAGAGATCTGCAGAGGATATAAAATAAAAACGCGGATAAGCCAAACGTTTCATATCTAAATAATTAAACAGTGCTTTCTCACACATGTTTAATTGCTTTTGTAATTCTTCCAGTCGTTCACAAAGTTTCGGTTTATTTGTGGCTTTAATGATATTGGGTGTGCCTGACACGTCTCTCAGTAATTCCTATGAAAAATAATAACATCAATATATGAAAATAACATTCCAGACAAACTGTTTTTACTTTAAATTCACGGTCTATTGTTTCAAAACGTTTAGATTCTTCAGGTAATTGTTTCCTTATATCATCAGAACCAATAAAAACACTTTCTAAATACAACCAGGTGCGTTGAACTTCAAACCAAATATTTATTACGGCATCCGCATTGCTCAACTTCTTTTGCCAGTCTGTTACAACATCGAAAAAGTGACCAATTAACTTTGAACTTAGCATATTTTGCAACTGCACCTGGATCGTTATGATTATTATAAAAATGAACTGTTATTATGATAATTATTTTGAATATAAACTTTACTTGATTTTCTTCTAAAATTTCTATCGTTTCCTCGTTTATTTTTAAAATATTTAATTTCGTTCTCTCATGATATTCTTTATCAAACTCCAAGTTTGCCCAAGTATTAGTTAACTCCTTGAGAACTTTTTCCATTGCCATTTCTTTCACAGCCTTATCAACTGTATTCTTAACTACTTCTTCATACTTATGAAGTTCTAGTTTCAAAAGATCTTCCAGAGTAGTTTTATCATCCATCGTAAATTTGACCTTTGAAAAATACATATAAAAAATAGTTATTAAAAATTTAATCAAAACTATTTTATTTATTCCAACATTACATTTACGTACTCGAGTTTCCGCCATCAACTGTCGCCAATGTCTATCTTTGATTGCTGGGTTCTGAAGATCTGATACTGCTCGCAGTGAAGACATCATATTTTTTACCTCATTTTCAATATAAGTGTACAATTTCCAAATTCTACATTCTTTATCTAATACTAAAAAACAGCCATTATAATTATCTTCTCATAATTTTCTTATGAAAAATTTAATTATTAATTTTTGTTTAAATACTAACACCGCAATTCTTTAATCAATCTTTTACATTCGTGATCCATTCCTTCAACATCGATTTTTTTCCATGGCGTATTATTCCATGCTTTTAAGCTCGTTTTAATAACAATAACATAATCCCATAGACCCTTTAATAATTTCAATTCCCGTCTAATTTGTTTTATTTGTTTAAACTCTTGAATTTGCAGTTCGTGTATGTTAGCAGTCTCGCTCAAAACTTGCAATTCCCTTTCAAATTCACCAACTTCCTCGTTTACTTTGTCCAGATTTTCATAGACATTTGTACAATCAGGACTTTATAAAGTATTCAAATTAAAATTAAATTTGAATGTAATTCTGGAAGGATTTAAGCTAGAGTATTCTTTACATACCTAAATAATTTGTTCTCATGGAACTTTGAATAATACCGTTGTTGTCGGAAGTCAAAGTAATTTAATCGTTTTTTAAGAAGATCTACTTGATGAGAAAGAAGAGGTGAGACAGTTTGCTTCATTTGAATAGCTAACTTTTTTACTGTTTCCCATAATTCAGGTAATTTCGATAAATACTGCCAAGTTTCATCAGTAAACTCTACATCATACTGTTCAAGCATATGTATAGTCTCCTAATATTTATAAATAATATTTTATTTTATATACGAAGTTTTTTCTTTTTTAAATTACAAACCAAAGAAGAGAAATATTTTTAACTTACATTAATTGGTTCAAATATGACATCAATTTTGAATTGTCTATCTCTGACTTCTTTCAAATAATAAATTGTTTTAAGTAATCCATCATAATCTTCCTCTAAAACTGGTTGAGTAAATCTGTCATATGCCCCACGTAAAAAGTCTGATAATTCCTTTAAGCTGGAAATAAAATATTCTATAAAAAAAATCCTCGATAAGAAGATTCCAATAACAAACCTATCATTAACATGGTCCACTAGATGAGTTTTTAAAACATTCGCCCATTTACATACAGTATTCAACAGAGTTTGTTTGAACAAAGTATTAGATACTTTGAACCATCGAAAAAATATTTTCTCGTTCTCAATTTTATCACATTCCTTATAAAGATTCATAAAGTAATCAATTTCCCTTTTAAAATCATTCAGCTCAGGTTTTCTTTCTTTTATAAATTCTGACAAATTGGGTGGAGATTGAGCGATAATTTTCTTCTCCTCGTCAGTGATATTTTTGGCAAATCGTAGAAAATTATTAAGATATTCTTGTCTATCATTTAGCCATATCCATTTATAGAGATCGTAAGTCTTAATTAAGTTGTAGCAAATTTAGTAACAGTGAATAATTAAGTACATTTGTCGTTATTAACGTTTCATTATACCTTAGGGCTTGAAAACTTACCGCTGCATACTCTTGAGCTTGAGTTAATGCTTGCTTAACTCGGTTAGAAGTTTCCTCCAACATAAATATGATTCGTTCCTCTTCACCCAAGTCGAGCTTTAATAAAACGTTAAATTAATTAATCTATTTTACTTTAAACAAATACTTTTAAACATTTACTCCGTAATGTTCTCGTTCATCAACTTTATCAGGATCCAAGCGAGGAATTAATGTACCCATTTTCATTATATCAAACATTAAGCTTTCGTAAAATGCATAAAATCCTTTTGGATCATCAATTTCTAATGGAGGTTTGTAAACAATATTTGGTATTTCCAAACATAAATATACTTCGAACAATGGATGTATATTAGATTCAGGATCAGTTTCATCAAGAATATAGCAAATGCTACTTTGAAATAATAAACAGTAGTATAATTAAATTTTTCAACAACAAGAATTAAATTTATTACCTTGTTGATACGGCTTGTATTAAGCCTTCAGATACAATTTGATCGATATAAGTAAGATAAGGTTTCCACTTGACTTGCCTAAGAGCTTCAAGTTTTGATTCCCTTTCAGCATCTTCCTGTTTTCTCAAGGTTTCTGATGGCGTCATTTCTACATCAGCTATACTTTCATTTTTATTATCTGCTTGCTCGACTTCTGCTCTTGTAAATTCTTCATCTTCATCTTGCTGAAGTCTACAACAGTTTGCAATTACTATTCAATATTGAGAAAAAGTATTCAAGATTTCTATCTTCAGTGAATAAGAAAATTTATCATTTTCGAAGATTTTCATCCATGACATATTTATTAAATTTTTATAAACGAAATAATTTTTTAGCTACTGAATATCTCAGCATTTATTTAATCCAATCTGATTTAATAGATGAATTGAAAAATTTTATTTATTAAATTAATCTTTTGAATATAAATTAAGTTTTTTTTTAAAAAGATTACATCAAAGTTGAATTATTTAAAAAAATTTCATCATGTGATACTAAAAAATGTTGAATAACAAAACTGTTATACTTTAGATTCATGAGTTATCTACCAATCTAGTATTATACGATGAATGCATTTATGTTTAAAAGACCCCCAATAATTCAGCTGCTCCTAAATTCAAAGAGGAGGGTCAGCATTTATTTTGTTATAAGGTACCTTTACCCAGTAAGATTGACCTTTATTTTTAGAAATTCCTTAAAAATTGATCTCGTAAAATACAACGAATAGAAATATACAGATAATAATTTTCTTAAAAAATTTCAGAGGAATGATACCTCTCAAAAATTTATTTCACCTGACTCTTGACGTTTATCGAATGAGTTTTTCAAAGAAGTAGATCTTGACTTACACTTCAGAATTTCCATCTCTAGTAGATGTAAAATCTTTCGATTTTAATTCAGTCAACGGATGTTTTAAACTATCTTCAACATAAGCTGATTCCGGTAGAATATTGAAGTAAAGTTTATAATTCTCGTCTAAAATTCTCTGAATTTCTTTAGCAGTTTCTTCAATGATGCTATATCTTTTAGCAAATTTCTCTTCTCGCCCATTAATAGTAATTAAATTTTCACGTTTGAAATCTTTCCTTACAAGAATCGGTAACATTGCCCATTCATAAATATTTTTAATTAAATGTTCAATATTTTTTTCTGCTTTCAGTTTACGAAAATACAAACTTCTGACAGAAGTAAAAAGCTTTTGAATATACTCTGGAACTTCTACAATAATGTTAATAAGAATAAGAAAAATGGCCTTCTCATTTTTAACATCAAAATTAAAATAACTTGGCAAAATTTGAATGTGTATTAGCTAGTTTATGTTGATGACCTAATTCATCATAACTGACTACTTTCTAACTAAATTACATACATCGATATTCACCTAGCGAGTTCCAGTTATAATTGATCTGCCCCTCATCAATCATACCATCAATCATTTGTATTTCCTCTCGTAATAATTCCAACTCTACCTCAGAACATTTTATTCTAATTTCGTTATACCTATAAATGATTTAAGTTATCTTTATTTTTGATCTAAGACTTTAATTATTTATATGCAAAGTTTATTTTTATAGATTTTTCACACCAATTAATAATAAGGTTGATATTGTAAGTAGTTTCCCAAAACAATTCGGATCTGTCCAATAAATTCAAAGCTTCAGGTGGCAAATCATTTAATTGAAGCATATTTATATATTTAGCATCACGTAAAATAGCTTCAAGTTCTGGATTAAAATTTGATGCTAATTCATTTTCTTTAATTTGTAATAATGGTTTATTGAGATTCTCATTGCAAATAGTTGGTACTTTCTTCATCCAATTAGTAAATATTTCCATCTCGGCAGCACTCATTAAGTTCTTTAACATTCAATAAAATATTTTACTGCTAAATGATAAGTCGAAAGATAATTAACTTACTTGGAGTTCATTGTGTTTAGTAATTATTTCACGGCAAGATTGAGAAGCTAATAATGGGTGGTCTATTAACTTCATAGATTCTATAGGATAATCAATACGAAACTTTAGCTTTTTCAACCAACATAATGCACCAGCTACTGGTGGGAAATATTGATCTACTTCCATGTGTCCAGATGTTTTTTTTATTGCAAAATTCTTATCAAATATTCGCTATTAATAATTCAATATTATTATTATTAAGGTTAATAATTAATAGTTATAAATTATTTATTAGAGTTGGAATATGACTTTGTAATGTTTGTAATTAAATTAAAGAGCTATAGTTCATTTACAACGTCTATAAACATAAACAAATAAATTTACATAATTGATTATTAATGAATATTGATAATTTAATGAAGATTTCCATTTAATTTTACCTTCACTTCATCAAGACTAGCATGGATTGTTGACAACAATGTCTCATAATTATGCCATAACTGAGCTTGTATAATTGGCCGTAAAGCTATCGGTCCTATTACCCATATAAGCTTAAACATTTCCTCCAAATTATGACAGTCTGAAAAAGCTCGATTCAATATTGAACTTAATCTCCGATCATACTCCTCGATCTATAAACAATATTTTGATGAAAAATTAACTTATTGAAAAGATGATCATTTTTATCTAGACTTAAAATTAATAATCCAAATTGTACAATGAAATAATTATTAGTTTCATAAATCTAGGATTTCAGTAAATATAAATGAGTGATGAATTTTGCATTAAATAAATCACCTTCTTTAAAAAAATGTCAATATCTTCTGAAAATTTTTGTTCTTCCGGTAATAAAATGTCATACTGTACAGCTCCTAAATCGTTATACGTCTTAAGAAATTCTTCATAAACTTCATTAACTTGTCGAAACAACTCTTTGCCATGTAACCCGGAAATTTCAATTTTTTCCAACTTGAGATAATTTTGTACTATTTCAAATAACTCCTGCGAATATCGAAACTTGGTATGAAAATGCATATACTATGAATGCGAATAAAATAAAGCCAGAAATGATAAATCATATCTACGATACTTTAATCTGATTCAATCGTTTTTCATATTTCATGAGTCGTTCTAAAACTAGTCGTTCATGGAACGTCCACTGGACACGTTTGGTAACATTTTGAAAATAGTTTTCAATATTCGTACAAAACTCTTCAAATAAATCTCGAAAATGCTGAATAAGGTTGAGAGCAGTTAGAACTTTGGTCAAATTATCATCAATGCTACTTTGAAATAAACTAGCAGGATCGAGATACTTGGAAGTCTATTAAAAAAAATATATATATTATAAAGGCAATTACCATAGAAATGTTTCTAATCAATGAAATTATATTAAATGAAATAAAACCTGAGTTATAAGGAGATTTACTACTGCACTAAGTAAAATTATCATATAACTAGTCGAGCAATAATATCGTGAATTCGTCCAAGCAAGACAAATACAATGAAATAGTGGTTTCAATTTTGGCTGAATTTCAGTTATTTCAAGTCCCTCTATCTCTTCAAATAGTGACTGCAGAGGTTTTGAATACAGCCAAATGTCTCTTGCTTCAGTTATAGCTGATAACAATAATTTAAAACGGAACATAGAGATAAAAAGAAAATTCATTTCTATACTTAATTTAAACGGAGTTACCTGCTACGACATCCTCGAAAAGCTTTTCAAACGATGAAAGATATGAACTCTTAGTTTGTTCAAGAAATGAAACCACTTTCTTTATTCGAGGATCTCTCATCTGATCATAAATAGATTCTAGATTCTTTAGTCTTTGTTGCCAGAATTTCAATTCTTTAAATAATTAATTTCATAAGTAAATATCAATTTTCATGAAAAAATTCTAATTAATTTATAGTGATATTTTACCATCATTAGGAAGTATTGGATTGACATAAGATATTTCTCGTTCATGAATCTCATTTAAAACATCATTGACTTGTGTCGACCATTTGATAACAATTCTTTCAGCATTATTTCTTAATTTAAAGTTTATTTCATCACTTGTCAACTGATCAGCTTTAAAAAAGTCCTCAATTCCCATTGGCATTGGTAACAATGTTTGTCCCATCATTCTTCCTTTAAGCTGAAAATAATTTTTATGTCTAACGAACTCTAGGTATAATATTTCATTCAATTTAAAAAATAAAAGTCATTATTACAGATATCATTTCTAATAAGTCAGATAGTGATAATGTCAAGAAAACGGAAATTAAATTGATGAAAAAGTTATCTTTTTCATCTATTTAAAAGCAAAAGCTTCTATGATAAGATGATAAAGTAAAAATAAGTGGAAAGTGAAATGTCGAATACAAAAAGCTTTCTATAACTGTACTGAATTAAATGAAAAGTTTATCAAGTTTAGTTTTAACTATTTATCGAGTTTTATTATTTATCTCCATTTCATATATTTTTTTGAGATTGTTTCATTTACTTGGCAAATCGAACTACGTAATTCATGAATATATTTTTCGACATCTTCTGCAATCACTTCCGGCCAGTTTTGCTGATTTTGTGGATTAGTGAGTAGTGGCAAATAAGCCTAGATTGAAAAATATTAATATTATTAATCGACCATTATTTACTTGAAAATTTGCTTGCATATTTAACCAAGAATAAATACAATATAGATGAGACTAATTACTTCTTCAATGAGTGTCGCTAATTCTTCGATTGAGTTTGAAGACATATCTCCTGGGATGAGCACTTCACGGTAATTAGCTTCTGTAATATTAACTTGATTCCGTCTGACGAAGTAAGAGACTTTCGTTTTAGTGTCGGGTTGTATTCCCAAAACGGGCAAGAGTGCTCCTGGAGTAATTTGTATTGTTAAAATAGTTTCACTTGGATTGTTGAAGAACTTATTTATTACAATCTGTCAATAAATGAAAATAATTTTTTTATTTTAGTCATTAAATAATTATCTATTATTCATCTAGAGACTTACCTTGAAATCAGGTGTAGTTATCATTTTAGTCCATTTATCAGCTTTTATTTTATTCGATTTTGTCAGGTATTGAAATATAAAATCCAATCTTGGATCATTACTTTCTTCATCATCTTTTTTATCACCCATTTTGGCAACTAATTAATCAAATTAATTTTTTATTGTATCTTGAATAGTCTCTTCTGACGCTTCATTCAACATTCCCCATTGAAACAATGAACAATTGAAAGTAAAGAAAGTGAAATCGAGCCCTACATTTTCGACAGTTGAGATGGTGCATTGAGGTTTATACTTTCTCCAACAAGGTGGCAATACTATAAAAATTTTTTCTCTCCAACATTTCAAAGGTTCCGCCATCAATTTTTCACATCCAAATTAGTCTATTTAAACGTAATAAGTTATCCCGAAATTGTTATTAATATATTCCACTATGTAAATGAAGAATACAAGATTCTTCGATTAACTGTTATATTTATGAGTGTTCAATGCATAGGCTATTTTTATTGATTTCACATTTGTCATAAATTATTAATGTATTAAATGGATTATATATAAATTATCGAGTTGTATCTCCCACGTCCCTATATATCAAACTTATATCGTACTTATTATGCTACATACAGTGTAACATGTAATTAACTTCATTAAATAATGAGCTTTATTTATCTTAGTGATTTATAAAACATGTCGTGCTTGATTCACGCATAATATTATTTATCATTAATTGGATTAATTATTAAATTAATCCATTAGTAAACAGTTGAGTTTCATATCGATAAAATATTTAGAGAATGTTGTCAACATATGCGTACAACAATAATCTCCAATAAATTAAAATAATAAAATCATTGAGTAAAAAAAATTTAGAAAATGGATTGACTAAAAAAAAAAAGATTTATTATTATTTGGTTCTGTGCCCTACATGAAAATATATTTGGAAATACATTTTAAAAGATTCAACATGATCCCTTGAGACTGTCACCAGTAGGCTGGACAAGAGATCTCATTTCTTGTGTCCTTTACTTTACCTGGCGGTATGGGAGAACCATTGTCCCTTTTGGAAGACGACTAAAGAATGAATAGGCCGTCATTTCGACAGGGGTTGGTTTCTCCCTCCTCCTGGAAATCGAGTTTGGTTTGGCCGTATGGTGGCGCAGTCTCACGACGAAGTGGTGGAAGTAGTTGCCCTGAAATGCCTCCACCCGTCACACCAGTCCAGTCAGTGTGAGTCGAGCGTGCGGATGATGCGTACGTTTACTCCGAGAAGACGTGAAAGTACTGTATTATTATGCTGTGGATAGAGGAACCGTTCGTTAGTTTAACGTGAAATATTTAACAGCAAAATAATAATTAGTGGTGCTACAGACGAATGTTACGAAATTTCGTAACATAATTAAAAAAAAAAAAAAAAATTACAAAATAAAAAGATTAATTACAAGTTTTAAAAGAGGTGTTTAGGTGTTGTGTAAAGTTGTAGGTGTAAAACTGAGAAAAAGTTTTTAAAATGATCCAGTGTAGACTTTTGTGATAAAAGTGCTACTATTTTTTTTTTTTTTTCAAAGTTCATCTGTTGGTTTCGTACTGGCCGGATTATTAAAATGGCTGTGAAATGCGGATGGATTCCAAGGATGTATGTGATTGTGGTGGGTTTGTTATGTCTGTTTGGGATGACTTTTGAAGGTGCGCTGGCTTCGTGCCACTGGTCATCCGACGGCAACGATACAAGATCTGTTGTGTGTACTTTGAAGACTTTAGATCCATCCGGAGTAGCAGCTTTACTTCCACCTCTCGATGGTGCATTCAAGCTGCGTCTCAGTTGCAGTAACGTCCATCATTTTGAGAGTATTATCACTGGGGAGAGTTGGCATCGTTTAAGCGGTTTACATGAGCTTTACATTGATGGATGTAAAATTTTGAGAATTCCAGAAGCAGCTTTCCAACCATTGAATGAGCTCAAGCGCCTTACCATACGTACATTAAATGCCGAATGGGGTACAATGCGCACGTTAGAACTAACTGCGGAGGCCCTTGCTGGCCTAAGGGAGCTTCAAACACTTGAAATAGTCGATAGCAATCTCAGGGTACTGCCGAGAAACGTTCTATGCGGTCTTAACAATCTTCAAATTCTGAACCTGACGGGGAATCAATTCCGAGAGATAAGCGAGGTCGGGTTGGCTGATGTGCGAGCCAATCGTGCCGATTGTCACGCAGATATCCGAGCGCTGGATCTCTCTCACAATGAGATAAGGAATTTACCGGAAGATAGTCCACTCTCAGGGTTGAGACAACTTCAAGAGCTTTATCTCCAGCACAATTCAGTGGCTGAAATAGCTAGTGATGCACTCACTGGACTCACTAGTCTTCGTGTGTTTAATGTCAGCTACAATAAACTGGACACACTGCCAGAAGCTCTATTTGCAAGCACTCGAGATCTCAGGGAGATACACTTACAACACAATGAACTACGAAATTTACCCCGAGGCACGTTTACACGACTAGAACAACTTTTAGTTCTAAATTTGGCTGGAAATCGCTTGGGAAGTGACACAGTTGACGATATGACTTTTCTTGGATTAATAAGACTGATTGTTCTCGACCTTTCATATAATACTTTGACCCGTATTGATGCAAGAATGTTTAAAGATTTATTTTTTCTTCAAATTCTTGATCTTCGTAATAATTCAATCTCTCACATTGAGAGCAACGCCTTTTTACCGCTTTACAACCTTCATACTTTGGAATTGTCTGAGAACAATTTGCACTCACTGGGACCTCAACTTTTCAATGGATTATTCGTTCTCAATCGTCTAACGCTCTCCGGGAATATGATCGCTTCAGTGGACCCTCTAGTATTCCGGAATTGTTCAGACTTGAAAGAACTCGACCTGAGTGGGAACCAGCTCACTGCAATCCCAGAAGCCCTTCGTGATTTAACCTTCTTAAAAACTCTAGATCTTGGTGAGAACAAGATAACAGAATTCCACAATGGGTCTTTTAAAAATCTTAATCAACTGACAGGACTACGTTTGATCGGTAACGAGATTGGAAATCTTACGAGTGGAATGCTGTGGGACTTACCAAACTTACAAATCTTAAATCTAGCAAGAAATAAGGTTCAACACATTGCGCGAGATGCTTTCGAACGTAATACAAGACTTGAGGCAATTCGTCTTGATGGGAATTTCCTCTCCGACATAAACGGGATATTTGCCAGCATTGCAAGTCTTCTCCTGCTTAATCTCTCGGAGAATCATATCGAGTGGTTCGATTATGCTTTCATCCCAAGTAACTTGAAGTGGTTAGATATACATGGAAATTTTATTGAAAGCCTGAGGAACTATTATCAAATTCGAGATCTTAAAGTGCGTACTCTTGATGCAAGTCACAATCGAATAATGCAATTAACACCACTCTCTGTGCCTGACAGTGTTGAACTACTTTTTATAAACAACAATTACATCACCAATGTTGAAGCCAACACGTTCACTGATAAAGTAAATCTCACGCGTGTTGACATGTATGCCAATATGATTGAATCAATGGAATTGGCTGCTCTAAGATTGACACCTGTACCAGAGGGTAAGTTTCTGCCAGAGTTCTACATTGGTGGTAATCCCTTCAATTGCAACTGCTCGATGGACTGGCTGCTTGTGATTAACAACATGAGTGCTCTCCGACAACATCCACGAATTATGGACCTTGATAACGCGATGTGCCGAGTGTCTGGCCCTCGTGGTACAGCTATCGTTCCTGCTTCAATGGCGAGACCAGAACAATTTCTCTGCCGTTATGAAGCTCATTGTTTTGCTTTATGTCATTGTTGTGAATTTGATGCTTGCGATTGTGAAATGACATGTCCGTCAGACTGCAAATGCTATCACGATCAAACATGGAATACCAATGTCGTTGATTGCTCGGGTCTTGGCACACAAGATATACCTCGACGGATACCAATGGATGCCACAGAAGTTTATCTGGATGGTAACGATTTCCGTGAGCTACAAAATCATGTATTTATTGGTCGTAAAAATATGCGTGTACTTTATGTTAATGCTAGTGGTATTGAGTCAATTCAAAATCGTACATTTAACGGCCTAAATAATCTACAAATTCTTCATTTAGAAGACAATAAAATTCACGAGCTCAAGGGATTCGAATTTGAGCATTTAGCACATTTACGTGAATTGTATCTACAGAATAATTTAATAGCATACATAGGAAATCTTACTCTGTTGCCATTAAGATCATTAGAAATTCTTCGACTGAATGGAAATCGCCTGGTCACGTTTCCTGTTTGGCAAGTCACTCTCAATACACGATTAGTCGAATTATCGCTCGGCGGTAATCCTTGGTCTTGTCGCTGTAAATTTCTTCAAGAATTGTCGTCATGGGTATCTGACAATGCCCATAAAGTTATTGATGCAAGTGACGTATGGTGTTACAATAATGAAGCAAGACCAGCATATCGTCGTCGTCTCAATGTCAATGAAACAGCATGCTCGGATTACTTTGCACAAGGTGGTGTCATCGAAAGCATCATGGTATCAGATTATTTGCCAATGGTTGCAGCAACACTCTCAGCAGTTTTACTTCTTCTAGTACTCACCGTACTTGCTTTTATATTCCGGGAGCCAGTACGCACGTGGGCCTACTCACGTTACGGCGTGAGATTCTGGGCAAAATCAACACAATCTGAAGATAAAGAACGTCTTTATGATGGCTATTTTTGCTACAGTCCAAAAGATGAAGATTTTGTATTGCATTCATTAGCCGTTGAACTTGAACATGGACCAAGTGGACTCCGGCTGTGCCTTCATCATCGAGACCTCCCATGTCTTCGGGCGGCCGCGCCTGTTGTTCTAGAAGCTGCTGAAGCCTCGAAGCGCGTCATCATCGTACTCACGAGAAATTTCTTACAGACTGAATGGTCACGTTTCGAGTTCCGTGCGGCTGTGCACGAAGCCCTGAGGGGTCGTCCAGGTCAGCTGGTTGTTGTCCAAGCTGGCCCAGTTGCACCAGAAGCTGAAGCTGATCCTGAATTAAGGCCATATTTGCGCACCGCAACAACACTGAGATGGGGTGAAAAACGATTCTGGGAAAGACTGAGGTTTGCCATGCCTCCAGGTGATGCACTCAGGCATAAATCCTCGTCTCTATATAGACGGAATGTCAACACCTACACTCTTGAAGGTCGACCAGAAAAGGAAACATCAACTCTACGAGTTCATGGGCACATAGCGGGTCATCACCATCCACTCTTCAAGGACGCTCCAGAACTACTTCAAGCGCCTCCAGCCTACTCCAGTACCGCAACTCTTGGTCAGAATAATCAAGCTAGACTTGAACCAGGTCCAAGAGACAATTCAGTCAACTCTGGTGCAAATCCAAGTCCTAGATTAACAATGAATCGCGCGTATCAAGAGGGACCGGTGGATGCTATAAATGAGAGTAGACGACCTCTATCAGAACACATTTACTCGTCTATTGATTCTGATTATTCGACTCTAGAGAGAAATGCTTGGAGACAACAGCAGCCTCCACCACCTGGGCAAGCGTATCTTGTATAATTCTCACGCTGCAGAAGATTTACTTGATAGCTATTCAAGGCACAAGTGAGATAAAGATGCTTGTCCAAGACAAACAGCAGGAAGATGCAAGAGTCATTGCTTGCAATTGCCCTCATGGAAGGACTGCAGTGCGCGCAACATACTGACTACAAAGATATACGAACAAACTCGAAAGCAACACATACCTTTGCTGTTCAGGCAAGCGTGTTTCAAACGTATTTTTAGCGATCATGAATTCAGTTCAACGTTAAGCGCAACACTTTGAAATACACTCGTCGTTACGACGTCTAGTCAAAGGGAATTGTCTTGACTTGCGACGTCAGAGATGGGCAATTTCATAATTACACAGAAGAAGAATAGAGCCAGTGTACCAGTGAATTCAGTGAATTGTAAATGTAATGGTTGTGTTCTTCATCATTTTCTTCCGCTGTAGGTCTTTTGTGATATTTTTTAATTACTTTTGTTCATTTCACAAGAATCTAATCAATAAGATATTACAAATAGCGATACAATGTTTTAGTATGACAAGAATGTGCACTCAAAAAGACATTTCACACAGGAAATGAAACGTGATTTATTTTTTTTTGTTTCAAAAGAACTGACTTAGTTTTTATTAAAGTCTTGCGATAAATTTTTGACGTTTGAAAGCGATTATATTTTTTATGAGGTTCGCGCAGACGTCTTGATATCAGAAAAAAGGAAAAAATCTTACTCATTAAATGTCGTGATTGTTTTTAGTTTTTTTTTTATTTTGTATAACCAGAGAAATGTGTGTGAGAGAGAGAGAAAGAGGCAAAAAAAAGTATTTATGAATGAATATAAAATACAATTTTAGTTATGATAATTGACGTTTCCATTCAAGACAATATCTCTTTTATTCAATCACATATAATCAATGTGATTGATGAAAAAAAAAATAAATAATAACTTCGATAGTTTTGTCTTCTGCCCGTCCTAATACAAAACTATTTCAGCGTTGCATTGTAAAATACCGATGGCCTACCTCGCCACTGACTTATTAATCTTATTAAATATTATTTACTTAATTATTATGCTTGAAGAAAATTGTCATGTAGGGGTTTAAAAAATTCTTCCCAAACGTGGCACAGCTGTAAATATTAAAAAATAAGATATACATATATAAATATATATATATATAAAGAAGTATATTATAAATATATGAAACATGTGTATAAATAATATTAAGATGTTTATATAAAAATGAAAAAATTTCAAAAAGTTAGCATTGCTGAAAAAAAACTAAATATGAGAAATTAGCTAGGCAATGTTTTGTAATTTTATATGACTGACAGAAAGACAAAGGTTGTTGTATGATATGTAAATATGTACGTAATTACGCCTGATGTAAGATATACTCGCCATGAAAGAATTATTGAATAATAAATGTACATCCGGAGAAACTTAAAGTAAGCATCATACTATGTACGGCGACACGCGCCCGTACATTTACCCTTATATAATAAACACATTGTACATTTGCTATAATTCGATTATTTAAATTATGTGAATAAATTTATAACTTACGTTATCGTTTCAATTTAAATCAGTTTTTAATTTATTCCAACACCAAACAACATACGATTATCATATCCTATCACATTTCCTTTACCACATAATATATCAACACTCGTGAAAATTAGTTTGTTATTATCTCTGGACCTGCATATAATAAAAAAATGATGCAACGATATCTCAGTAATTATTATCTTATTATCATGTAGATAACAAAATCTAAACATAATTAAACTTCTTTGAAAACTTTCATTATTTCTTTTTCCATGAAGTGCAGTTGGTTCATCACAATTTATATAAGATATCATTCTTGAAAGTGAATCATTAGTATACAAAGACGTATTTTTTTCAAGTACCAAAGATTGATTAATGTAAAATATCTTTTAAATGATTTAAAAATATTATGAATGAGTGTGTTACATAAAAATCTATTTTCAAAACTAAATTCGTTCTTGGAATGTTACATCAGAATATCTTCATCATTAATAATATTTCTTCTTTTATGTTGCTGAGAAAATTTGTATTACATTGTGAAAAAGTATTACCTCAAGTTTTCTTTTTTTTTGTTCTTTGACTTTCTGATTAAAAGAAAACTTCATTAAATTATCATATCTTCACAAACTAATTTGTTTTTAAAAAAACATAAAGTTTAAATTAAGTATTTCTTGAAAGTTAAAATATAACAATACTTGATAGAAAGTTGTCTAAGCTAAATGGAGTGAATTCAAAACAATTTGTTCATTAAAAAATTAAAAAAGTTTAAAAATATTTTTCTCAACAAAATCATTATTAGTCAAAGTTTATCACGTTTTCTAACTTTCAAATTAAAATTAAATCATAACTCATGAAGAAATAATCTAATGCATTCTTTCACATCGATTAATTACTGCAGTAAGCAACCTCAAAATTAAATCATTATCCTGGTTGCAATTGATCTTGAAACTTGATGAAAATAATATAGCTGTAGAGATTATTTCATTCTCAGGTTTACAATCATCTTTGTTCGAGAATCCTTCACTAATTCTCATCATCGTACACCAGTGAAATCTCTATCTAACTTCAATCAGCACAATAGACATAGAGTGATGTACACGTACATTTATACTCGCACATTGTAACAATACAGCTTTAAATATAAGCAGCAGTAATACTACCATCAGAAATATCAGGAACTCTGGCAATGCATCGATCGAAGTCAGTCCTGCTATTCAGCATTGTGTGCATATTCATTATTGGAGTGGTTTCTACCCCTATAACTACCTTTTCCTGATCTTACCTAACCCCTTCTTCAGTCGAGTACAAATAATCGTTCAGCTTCTCAATTGTTCTCATGAAATCGAGGTGTTAATTTTACATAGACAATATTCCATTTATTTTCATTCTCAAACATTGTTCTGCTTAATCACGTTTTCAAAATTTCTCTATTATATATATAATATTTTCATAAAATAGTTTACGCTTGATCCATCTAGAGTTCATTAAAAAAAGTAAATTTAAAAAATTTCATCATTCATTGATGAGTATAAAAAAATGAAATTGAGCAGAGATATTTCAAGAATATATATATAGAATACTAATTAAAAAAATTTTTTTTTCATAAGAAATGACAACATGCATTATTAATAAATCATTAAAAAGTAATTTATTCTCAAGAACGTGTGAACACCATACGTACTAATCGATTTAATTAACATCTAAAAATAGAAAGAAAAGTAAAGATTTCTATTTTTTCGAAGTAACTATCAGCAATAATAAATGATTATTTTGAAATTATAAAACCAATCTAGTCTTTGAACTATTGTAATTAGTAATTAATAGCTTATTACATACAATAGTTTATGATTGCATAAATTAACTTGATTAGTACTAGTAAAATCGGATTATTATCAGTAATTACTAAAAATAATTAAATTACTCTGAAAGAATGTATTAAATTCTCATTATATTAATAATCAAATAGATAAATAATTACTACATTTAATAATGTAGCCTAGGGAGATGAATATTATACTGACGTGTGTAATATTACCATTAAATAAATTCGAGGAAGTTTTTGTTATGAAATATTTTTATGAAGGTCAGAATTCCACGTTGTAATGAAACAGACAGATGACAAGTAGACCACCTTAGTTTCGCCATGAATTACATAAATAAACGTTAGTTAACATCAGAGAGACGACTCATGCTGGATAACATCTCTTCTCACGTCTATGTCTCCAGTACAGAGCAAGCCGCACTAAGACCTGCCACAAATTCACCTCAGAGTTCAACGCAGTTATAATGCGTGTGTGTATAGGTTGTACACTTCTCACTATGTGTTATGTGATGAAGAACAAAGAGTGAACTTATACGTACACGTATTCTATCCTACATACATGTTTAACCATGTCCATGAACATTTACTACCAATGTGGTGCTCTGATGCGGTTGTTTCGGGCAACCCAACAATTCTCGTCGTCACTTTCCACTAACCTCCTGACCGTTAGCACCTCATGTAATCCATAATCGTTCATTATTTTTTATTCACTGACTTTTCACTTCCTTTATTATTATTTCTTCTTTGAGAATCATTTTTCCAGTTCATCAAACTTATTTTTCATCACTTGATTGGAGACAGTGATAATCATCTTGAAGATAAGAGGTTTATGAACGTGTATAAATTTGTATATCAGTTTACTTTATGAATGATTTTATAAGAAAGTTTCTCAGTTATATTCTGTGGCATATGAGATCACAAAGTTTCAAGTTTGCAAGTAACCTTCACAAGTCTTTCTCATCTCTATATATCTTTCTCTTTCTCTCAGCATGTGAATTTCTTAACTTTTGAGTGTTCAGTGCAAGTAGTTTTGGAGCGAATTCAGGAGTTAGGTCGAAATTGTTGGCTTTTCAGCTACTGTGAAAGTTTTAACGTCACATATTCAACTTACGATATTATTCACAAGGCAAAAGTATTCGTGTGAACGGAAATAAGAAAAACTCGACAGAATTAACGATGAGAATAGTCTCTAGAATAAATGAAAATTTCATTCTGACTCACACACTAATTTTCGATCAGATTTTCTTTACATATCTCCCCTATGAAAATGACATGGGATATATAACTGACATTTCTTCCAATCATCTCGCTGGATTTCCATTATTCTAATTCATTTCAAAAAATTAATCTGGTTTGACAGTAATACCATGGGATTAAATTATACCATTCCTAACGAAAACTCTTAACGTCGAAATATTTTATATTTTATGGTTAATTAAAGTATCAATATCATTAAGTTTTTTCAGCTATTATTACTTATAAAGGAATAATTTAAAAATATATACTCCCAAAATTTTCTTAATTTTCCTTTGAAGAATGCAGTTAGTTGGAGGAACGCTCATTAATGAGAAGTATTTTTAAAATAGTTGTAAACTTCCAAGGTGGTTTGACAACATCTGAGGTGTCATCTTAATCCACGTCGATCAGAATAACAAGTAAATTACGTTGAAAAATTTGTGAGAAGAATTTTTTAAAAATAATTATCTAATGAATATTACATGATGCTACAAGTAAATCATTATAAAAGAGAAATTTTTCAAGTGTAAAAAAATTCATTTTTCAAAAAATAAAAAACAACAAAATTACAATGTTCATTCTTTACACTAATTTAACAATAATAAACTGTTATAATATACTCACAAACATAATTATAATTTTAAATCAAAAAATATTCTCAAGTGACATAAACCGCCAAAGAAAATTTCTTAAGTACATTATTGGAAAGATTAATTCTGTATTCCCAGGATAAACAAATTTACAATAAAAGTATAACAATTCAAGATGATACTTGTGTTATATTATATTAGCTGGTAATATTATCGTTGAGTATATTTATACTTACCATAAGTGTTTGTTCAATGTGTTAACCATTCATAGCAAGATAACTTAAATGTTTACCCAAGATCATAGTATTTTCAACAAACAAAACCGTTACCAAAGTCAGTGCAAGGTATATACATATGTATTAGTCTTATGTATTAGAAATAAATGTTGAATATACGTAGAATGAGTTGATGGGTAGTCCATTCGATAAATGATGTACGGGAGTCTTTTGTCGCAAGTCCCCAGGGATGATCGGGCGGCATCAGACCTCCATACATGCACACGGCCGCATCGAATCAAGGGTAGTGAACTTGGTAGGGCGCTTAGGTTTGTGACGAATTAAACGAGCTCAACGTATAGCCCAAGTCACCCTTACTTGGGATCGCTCGAATAGGCCGCACGCTTCAAAAAAATCTATAAGAAATGTTGGAATAATTCAGCGTAAAAAGTCAGCGATTTTTCAACATCTAAGGAATATCACGACACTTCTTAAGCAGTGGGTGCAGCCACCTCCTTTTTGATTATTGTATATACATATATTTTTCTCGACATTTCTGCTCCTTCGAATTCGTCACGCGACGTGACACCAGCTGCCGCGCCATCGACTTTTTTAATAAGCATAAAATCGTAACAGCTGTCGCGAATACCGAGAAAAAATACGCGTGCCTTCCTCCTTATCGCAATAAACTTTGCGTGGAATAACAATTGATACCGTGTTACGTATAACGATATGTAAAAATGTTAGATCAATACATTTTGCTATATATGTTTTTTCAAATGTAGATGTGTTTTAATACACAATATGTATTCCGTGTATGTAGCTATTGTATACAATAATAATAATACTTATTGACAAATTTATATTCTTTATACATACTATTTGCATTTTTAACAAATAAACAAGAATTATAGTTCAATAGTAAGCTAATATCATAGATATTAAAATATGTAAAATCATCCTATACAAAAATATTATCAATATCATTCGCTATTTTATGCTTTTTGCGTATTATTTTTAACTCAACAAAAAAATATTATTTCCCTAAAATTTGCCAATTTGTTTTTGTTTTGTTTCCATTGTTTTTACTATCATATGTAAAAAATTTTTCCCAATAAAAACAGAATATTTTGATAACTTTATTTTTATTATAAAAATTATTATTTAAAGTGTT